GTTAAGAGAATTCGAGCGACTTCGGCGTAAGATCGGCAACCTGGGGAAAACTAACTCTGCAACTCGCTTGGCTAGCGGGAAAGGAACTCGTCACTATTCCAAGGTACTAGGATCTGGAAACAGGACAGGACTCAGACTTGGACTTCAACAGTTTAATCTTCAGCTAGTGAACGTAAATCATACAGTGAAAGGTTTGAACCCAGGAGTCATTTCGAAAGGTTGAATTTGATCGTCCGGGTGAACGTAGTCCTGAATAGGGCTGTTGTTGTTGACAGTGACTGACGTTTCGACAACCAGTGCGGTAGTCATCTTCAGAGTCAAAGTGAGTTGTATCACGTCAGTTGATGGTATTATACTCTGGTTATTGATCTGATTGGTCAATTATGTCACGATGTTATTGGTCGTCTGTCAGTTAAGCCGTGATGTTATTGGCTATGAAGACTCGTAATCAGTGATTGGTGCGTTTCGATCCGTCTATTGTCACAGTTTAACAGTCGTCTATTGTTAGTCAAATTGTCAGTTCTCTAGTTGTTCTCTCGTAGTTAGTTTTGCTTGATCTCGTCAATAAGTCGTTTGTACGGCGCTGGTAACTGTTGGCTACGATTCAGTGGCGTTTGTTCTAAGCTAGTAAACCAGCTTTCTAAAGTAAGACGTTGATAAAAGTCTGTAGAATACGTTATACATGTCGCAGAGTCCCAGTCAATTTGATGTTTCGTCTTTAAATGGTGCTCAGCAATGTGATTGTTGACGTCACCATTTCTCGTCGCGCGTTTGTGTTCGGGCAGTCGCGTGCTTGGGTTTCTGCCGGTTTCACCAAGTAAGCCTGACAGTCGCAGCATTTGATCTTGTATACTGCTCCCTGTCTGTCCTCCGGTTTGTCTTTGTCCTTCACATTAGTAAGCAGTCGCCGTAAAGTGGTTATCGGTTTGTGCGCAACACGTATATCGTAAGGTTGTAATATACGTGCAATAGTTTCAGAGGTGCCTCTGATGTACGGTATAGTCGTTGTCGTAACAGGGCCAGAGTTGGTCTGAGAGTTGGAATCAGTGTTACTGTGAGTGTTCCGTCTAACAAAGTCCGTGTTGTAATTGTTCTTACTAAAAACTCTGAAGATGACTACTGCACAGGTTGTCGAAATAAATCCACTCCAGAAATAAACCCCAAAAACACGGAAAACGTTTTTCGGAAGCAGCGGAGAGGGTTTCGGTAAAGGGCATACAAAATGATGCCATTTGGAACTGCAATGAGGAATGAAAGAAGCATCAAGGAGACTCCAGTAGCGAGGCAAACTTCTTTCTCAAAATTGCTTTCCATTGTAAACCTGTATCACAGCGCACTTGTGGCCGACTTTTTATATCGTCCTTCCCAAACAAACCCTTGTTAACCGATGAATTCAATTGCTCTTCTACTTAGCTCGACCGATATCAAACAAAAATTGGACTAAGAATCGACTAAACATCTCTGGGTTGTACTGAATTATGGGTGTCTTGTTTTATATCTATAACTTTGACGTTCATCCTGTTTTAAACAAACAAGAAAGCAAGCAGCTTCCTTTTCATGAGCAAATATATTTGTAGTTTGATTAATGAACATCGTTCATTTACGTTCCTAGCATCCGTTGCCACTCATACTATATATTACTCCCAACATTCGATTAATTTTAAAAGGTTAATGTTTGGCAATAGGTGGCAATTACAATGGCCTTCCGAATGCTGGGCATAAATCAATTTTTGGAAGATGACAGGCCTTGAATTCTTTATTTAACAAGGATTTTAAGCTTATCTGTCGAAAAAGAAAACACCTCTGTCAGGTCAAAAGAGGTTTGACCAATCACCAAACCACGCAAAGAGCTGTGTGGCCATATAGTAGCCATATAATCCTTGTTTCAACATGGGCTCTGAAGAGGTCTCTTCTACGAAACTCAGTTAATTTCACTGGTACGCAAGTGGTCAGAGGTGCTATAAATCGAGAGAGGACAAGTTAACATGGTTTTGGTGAACTTCACCAAGGCCTTCGACACAACGCTTATTACTTTGGAATCTGCAGTAACTTTAAAAAATTTGAATTAAAACTTTCCTTCCTCGCCGATCGTGGTCAACATTATGTCGTTAATGGTTCGTAACCAAGCTGGTCAATGGTCACGTCTGGCGTACCACCGGGAGTTTTATTGGTCCCCTGACATTTTTCGTTTACATGAACGACCCACCCGACTATGACTTTCCATCACACTGTTCGATGATGACGCTGTTATCTACATGAAAATCCAAACTTCTGAAGATCATCATACCCTTTCAGAATGACCGTCAACTACTCGAGGCGTGGACCTTTCGATGGCAGATGAGATTGGCATAACTAGAAAGTGCCACATTTTACGTAGAACGCACGTACATTAGGTATATCATTAAATCAATTGCGTATAATGAAATGAAATGAGAGTTATCTTGAATTCCATGTGATTCAGCTTTCGTAAGCCATTACTCCCACCTACGTCTCTATCCATTTTCAAGCTCATATATATTTATTTATCAGAAAAACAATTAAA